GAGTACTTTAATTTAGAATACTACAGTCTATGTCTCTATGCACTAGTTAGTATTCAAACTGAATAAACCGAAATCGAAAGGAGAAAAATCGAACCATACCGAATTTAATTAGGTACGGTATTAGTATTGCATTTTAAGAAACCGAATATCGAAAATACCAAACGAAAATGTTTAATTACCGTACCGACCAACGAACATCCCTAAAGGCACACGAATTCCCTGAGCATCTCATTATCTCTCTGTTTCACTTTGAAAAGGTCTGACTTCCTGGTCTCGACCTTGATGGCCCCGGCGTTTGCTTTCACGAAGGAGTCTGCAAGCATAGCAAATGAGTCAATAAAATTGGGGGATAAGTTGTGATACCATATCATAACTCCCTTCGACAAAGTTTCCCCGAATATTTTCAGCATGACGGACCGGATCTCATCATCCTCCAAGTCGTTCCCTTTGATAGTGCATGCGCAGGAGGTCACATGCTCATCTGGGTCAGTTGTTCCGTTGTACTTAGGAATTTCGGGCATATGGAACTTCTATGGAATTGGCTTCGGAGTCGCGCTCAGAGGGAAAGGTTTCTAAAAAACCTTTTTGGAATCCAGACCCTTCAATATCGGTGGTGCTCATGGGATTTGGTCAACCCTAAAATTGTTGGTTTCCACCTTTTTGTCATTGGACTCGATTTTCTTTTCTTCCGATTCTACCCATTTTGTCAGTTCCTCGAGCATTTTTATGATCTCGGGTGTCACGACCCAAAATTTATAAAGGTCGTGATGGCGTCGGACTCCACTGTCAGGCAAGTCAATAATAAATACTTAATTGGGTTCTCATTTTGTTACTTTTGAGATCATGTTTTTCCTTCAATTTAAATCGTAAAAGATGAAGTTTATAAAAATAAATATTAATATCTTTAAAGTTTCCAATACATCACAACCCATAATCCTCCCAAAATCCGGTGTCACAAGTGCATGAGCATTAACTAGGAAAGTAAAATAAAAAACAACAGCTGTCCGGAATACAAATTAGACAGGAAAAGAAAATACAATACTCAAAGGGAGACTATGTTGGTTGCGAATCATCGTAAATAATGCAGCTCACCCAAGTCCCTGCCATAATAGCGCCTCTGCGCCCGCAAGGCCGCTAAACATATGTGTACCTGCACAAAAATATGCAGCAAGTGTAGCATGAGTACGTAAATCAACGCGACTCTCATAGTAGCATGAGTACCTACTATGGGCTATAATTAATATACTAATGATATGATTAAGCATGGATCACGTAGAACGGCTGTAAGCCCGATATTATGAAATAAGTAAAAAATTCTTTTGTTAACAAGAAATTTACCAAATTCATTTTCATCATTTTAACAGTTTATATCGCAGGCCAGTGAGGCAATATCAATTATTATAATCTTCGAAGAAATTAATACAATCATGCGCAAGTCATGCCGAGGTCGTACGGCACGATCCAACAATAAAAATAAATTGTGCACTGCCGAGGATCAAACGGCGCGAACCATAGATGCATCTATAAATTTTCCCGCTCGCGAATCCTACATGTGACTCGGTCCCTGCTCGCGAATCATACATGCAACGCGGTCAAATATAAATTTAAGGTAATACCCCACTCGCGAATCATACCTGCGACGCGGCCAAATATAAGTTTAACATTTAAATCATATTTCTTTCTTGATTTTTTTCAAAATAAGGGAAATTCAATTTGAAGCTTTTTAAGGAAATTACCCCGCTCGCGAATCATACATACGACGCAATTATACATAGATTGCTTAAGCTATTATAATATTCCTCAATTCTTTTCGAAATTACGAAGTTCAAATGAAACCTTTTAAATCTTAAATTCTTCAAATTTCCATTCTTTCTAGACAATCATTACTCAACCTCAATCTTGTTTCTTCTCAAGGCAAATAATAACATAAATCAACAACAATGTTAACAAGGCATGATGTAAACCTAGACTACCCGGACATAGGCATAACTAGTAATTACGTACGGACTCTCATCACCTCGTGCGTATGTAGCCCCCCACAATTGGAAGCATATATTAATTTATTTCACCTATGGGGTTAATTCCCTCTTATAAGGTTAGAAAGGAGACTTACCTTGCTCCGAAGTTCCATAACTGGCTTCCGAGCCCTTCAAACAACTTGAATCGATGCCCAACGCTCTAAAACTAGCCAATGATTATGCAGACCCATTAATATATACTCAAATACTCAATATATTTCAATTTATAATAATTTCTAACCCCGATCAAAAAGCCGATAAAATCACCCTCGGGCCCACGTGCCCAGATTCCAAAAATATTTGAAGATAAACTTTACCCATAACCTCACGTACTCAAATATATAGTTTATTCTCAATTCCATGCCCAAATTTCGTGGTCAAAAATCAAAAATACCAAATTCTAGGTCTTCTACCAAAACCACCACCATTTATACTAATTTCCATGTTTAAATCCTTATACAAACCATGTATTTAACTTATAATAAGTGGGAATCACTTACCTTGGCATTGATGACGAAGAATGAGCTCCAAACTCGCTCCAAGACCGGCTCTCATGGAGAAAATGGGGTAAAGCCAAGCCCTCATTTTTAAAGAACACACTGCCCATCCCCGACATTCGCACCTGCGGTGCCTTGTCCACATCTGCGGTCCCGCATCTTCTGAAATCCCATCGCAGGTGCGGCTCCAGCTCGGCCCAACATTCTCGCACCTGCACTCCATGCGGCGCATCTGCGCGTCCGCTCCTGCGTTACTCTCTTCGCACCTGCACTTTCGCAGGTGCGCAAATCTTTCCGCTCCTGCGGTTCTTAGCAGCCTGCCCCTTCCGCTTCTGCGAGCCATTTTCCCGCACCTGCGGACTCGCACTTGCGGCCCTCCTCACGCAGGTGCGGTTACACTAGATGCTCAGCCGCTTCAGCCCTTCTTCAAATTCCAAATTCGATCCGCTAACCACCCAGAATTCACCCGGGGCCCTCGGGATCTTAACCAATTATACCAACACATCCCAAAATATATTACGAACTTAGTCGAGCCTTCAAATCATATCAAACAATGTCGAATTCATGAATTGCATCCCATTCCAAGCTTAATGAACTTTATAATTTCAAACTTCCTCATTCGATGCCGAAATCTATCAAATCATGCCCGATTGCCCTAAAATTTTGCACACAATTCGCGTTTGACATTACGGACTACTCCAACTTTCGAAATCGGATTCTGATCCCGATATCAAAAAGTCCACTTCCGGTCAAACTTCTCAAAAACCTTCAAATTTCTAACTTTACCCAAATGACTCCAAAATGACATCTGGACCTCCAAATCCACTTCCGGACGCACTCCCAATACCAGAATCACCATACGGAGCTATTCCCAGGCTCGGAATCCCAAACGGATATTGATAATATATAAATGCACTTTAACTCAAATTTAAGAAATCCTTCTAAAAATGCCAACTTCCATAATAGGTGCCGAAACATTCCTGGGTCATCCAAATTTCGACCCAGACATACGCCCAGGTCCGAAATTGTCATACGAACCTGTTGGAACCTTCAAATCCCGATTCCGAGATCGTTTACTCAAAAATCCAACCTTAGTCAATTCTTCCAACTTAAAGCTTCCGAAATGAGAATTTTCTTTCCAAATCAACTTTAAACTCCCTGAAGCTCAATTCCAACTACGCGTACAAGTCATAATACCTGAAGTGAAGTTGCTCATGGCTTCAAACTGCTGAACGACGTGCTAGAGCTAAAAATGACCGGTCGTGTCTTTACATCAGGGTTGGTCTCGGGTTCAGCTTCGCTCGGCCTCTCCGTAATTGGTTCGTTTATGCGAGTGATATTCCGAGACGGCTCGGGCTCAATTTTGCTGAGGCCGCGACTTTGGTTCTGCAGCTGGGCTATCGCTGCCTGTTGGGCCTGCAGCATTTCGAAGATCACTCGCAAGTTGATCTCATCTCCTTACCGCCGTGTCTATTTTGGGATGTCAATCGGACTCCCCCGTGGATGCTGTTCTCAGGATCGGTAGACAGATTCGCATTGATGGCCACATGTGAGTTAGCGTTGATCGGGTCCGTGATCGGAACTCCGCTAGGATCGACATGGGGCACCTCGCTACTGGGTACCGTATTGTTGTTCTCGCCTCGGTGACCGGACTCAGCATCCACGTTTAGAGGTGCAGATTGGGAGTTCGACATTTTGAACTTTGACCTGAAATTGAAGACTCTTCAAAGAATAAGTGTAAAATAGGGTGTGTTATGGAAATTTGTATCAAATTATCACTATTATCTTTAGTCTCACCATGGGCGCCAAACTGTTTACCCTATAAAATAAATAATAATTAAATTTGTAAGTGGTTTTAAGGATACGTGGATTAATTCGATACGAACGATAAATTGCGTTAGATTAAACAAATAAAGATATAGTAAATTCAAACCATGCGAGGAGGATGATTCCAACCTTGATGAAATATCCACCCTCGATCCGGATTCACAATGGCTAGCACCGACGAACGAGAATAAGAGCTATGAATAACAGTGAAAATAATAGTATATTACCTAGGGATATGTGTTACAAGTATCCAATGAATAATTAGATTCCCCTTTATATAATATGGGAGTTTTACCCTAAGTACAATTTTATAAAAGGTAAAAATCTCCCGTTTAACTGATTACTGAATTCCCATCGGTATGTGCCTAGATCTGCGCCTTGATACCCGGTTGATCGCAGATATCACAGCCTTCCGTTAATCGTGTTCGATCGTCCAATAATGCTCTCCGAAGTCTCTTGAGATTTGGACCGATCCGGGGTCATGGCCTCGTGCCCCCGATGCCTCACTTGGTGAGTCCCTTACCTTGATTATGGTTCCTTGTCATCGCGTTCCTTACTCGATTTATTTTATCAGAAATCGGGCCGGCTTATGGGTCCGGTTTCAGCCGTATACAACTACTATGAGGGGATTAAATTCCTCAGGGACACGTGAGTTCAGTAGATGAATTAATTCAAGTTCATATTATACTCTGTTTTATTTCCATTTCGAACACAGTAAATAACATACATTGGTCGAGCCAATACGAATGATTCAGTTAAACCGCACTAAATCCACTTCTATTTTATTGCCACACAAAATCTTGGAACTTAAAAGATGAATAAGAAAGTATTCATTTGGGAGCAGAAGCAGCAGCTCCAGCCTGAAAGCGAGCTCTGAAATGGGCAAGCAACTCATCTCTTGGAGGCAGATATTCCTTGTTTTGGCTGCAGTAAATGTATTCATCTCTCCACGCACAAAAATTTGGAAATTTTTCACTTGTCACCAAAACAACTCCAGATGCTTCTTCAAGTACTCCCAGCCAAAGTGCCGCAGCATTTGCGGCAATATCAGCGAATCCAAATTTGTCACCGACAAAGAACTTCTTATTCTTGAGCTCATTATCAAGAACTTTCAGCATCTCACAAACTTGCTCTTTAGCTTTTTCTTGCTCCTCTCCTTTTAGAAAGAAAGATCTCCCCACTGATGTCCCCTGCAAATTTAGAACACTCAAAACTTATATTTCAATAACAATTTATGCAAAATAGGAATTTACCACTACAACAACAACAACCTTCAACCCAAGCAAGTTGGCATCTGTCTGATGATGTTGCCTTATTTGAGCTCATCTAAGTCATATTATACAAAAAAAAAAAAAAAAAAAAAAAAAAAAAAAAAAAAAAAAAAGGTACTAGAAGTTCCTTGTATTTTCTATCGACATACAAATCTCTAACATGGAAAGACTCGTAAAATATGGTAAACGTACTATTACTAAAATATATTCCCAATTAATTGGAATATATAGCACTGAAAAGAATATACCTTTTCTTCAAAAAACTTAGCCCAGAAACGAGCTATAGCACGGTCATAAGGGTCATTAGGCAAGATGGAAGGGCCTTCGAAAGTCTCGTCAATGTATTCAAGAATGAGCATAGACTCAGAAATGGGCTTTCCATTGTGAAATAGCACTGGAATTTTCTTGTGAACAGGGTTTGATCGAAGAAGTAGAGGGCTTTTATTTTGTAGATCTTCTTCTATAAATTCATATTCCACGCCCTTAATCTTAAGAGCCCACTCAACTCTGTGACTAAATGGGCTATACCAAAGACCAAGCAACTTCACTTCTGCCATCTCACAAGTCACAACTTTGGTTCTCTGTGTTTGCTTTACAATGTTGGTTGACGAATTTTATGTGGTGGTTCTGATCTCTCGAACTCTGGTCTTCTTTTATAGAGGTAAAAATTAGGAAGTGTCTGTTTAACCAAGCAAATGCAACTTTTCTTCTTTGACAAGTCAATTTTCTGGTTTGATGCTTCCATATTGACTGGAAGACTAGTACTCACTCACTCCATAAGAATTGACCATTTTACATTTGATACACCTATTAAGGAAATATCAACTCCTATAGAAAAAATATGTATTAATTAAATTAATCTTAATTAATTATTATCTTGATACATTGAAATATGTAAATAAGGGCACACTTTGGAAAAACAAAATTAATTCTTTCTTAATTATGTAAATAGATACTTATTTTGGACCAAAATAAAAAGATAAAATAGAAACTTATTGCGGACAGGAGAGAGTAATAATCACAAGTCTTAAAATTTAATTAGAAGGTTCTATTCATTTAATAAAATATTTATATCAGTAGATACATTAAATGTATTTGCACGAAAACTTTCACTTAATAATGATTAGTTAGTAATTTGTATTCTCACTGCGAGTAAGTTTTACCGTTAGATTGGTGCTCCACGTTGAGAGTCACTTTGGATTAAACTTCGGATGCCAATTCTTGATTCTCAAATATATATTCTGTGTTGTAGGTATGTTTTTAGTGGTGAGTACACCAACATAGAACTTAAACACAATCTGAGAATTCTTCATCGGCTTTAAACTCTATAGCTTATAGAAAAATTGGCATCCTATAACAACACATAACAGGAATTGGCAATTTTTTAGTTTTATATTAGGTTTGGCAAAGATAGCCCCAAACAATTGGCATTATATAGCCAAATCTTAACAAAACTACTCTCTTTTATATTCTCTCTCAAAAAAAACTACACGCTTATTTTGGCTTCCCATCCCTTTTCTCTCATTGTATTTCTTCTTCTATCTTTTCTCTTTTCTCTCATAATTTAGCAAAAATTCTTACAAATTATGTTAAAAAAATCAGTGGGATGAAAAAGTAAGGTTGATCTCACATCAGAGAAAATCAGAAGCAAAAACTAAGAGAGAAAAAATATATTTCAACTTTATTTTTATTCTCTCTTCTTTTCTTGGTTGAATTGAATGAGTGGGTATGATTGAAATTAGTTGAAAATACCTAAACGAGGCTATATACAAAATTTGAGCAAGATTAGCAAAAACTAAGAGAAAAAATATATTTCAACTTCGTTTTTCTTCTCTCTTCCTTTTTTTGTTTGGATTGAATGAGTGGGTGTGATTGAAATTGCTTGAAAATGCCTAAACAATGCTATATACAAAATTTGAGCAAGATTAGAAGTGATTTAGACTGGTTTCAGGTAAAAATATCAGACCTAAAAACCCAACTGCGACATGTATATATCACGTTGTATATCATGTACATCAGTGTATATCACACACATATTTTTAAGGACGTCTATGTATATCACTTTGTATATCGTTTATACAACACAATTGTTTATGGACCCCCGTGTATATCACATTGTATATCGTATATATAACACAAATTTTTATGGATATACACAGACACACATGAGATATCACTGATGTACATAGAGATATACACATGTTACAATAGGGGATACACATGTCAAGTCGTCTTGAACTTGAGTTTTCAATCTGAAATGTGTTATACAAAGAAGGAAAATAAAATTTTAATAAATTTGTTTGATATACACATTATTATTATGTTATACACTGTGATATACAAATAATATAATTATTAATTATGATCGAAAAATAAATTTTTTTTATATAGCATGTTTAAGCAAGTTTTAAAATATAAAAATAATAAATATAATTGCGGGAGTAAATAATATTTTGGTATACAAAGAAAATTAATTTTTGATATACACAAAGAAGAAAAGTAAACTTATGATATCTATTTTGGTATACACATGTCTGATGTGCTATACACTGTGATATATAAATAATAAAATATTTTAATTGTGATATACATTGATATAAAGGCAGCAATAACTATATATATAATTTTATATTATCGATATACAAAGAATAATATTATTTATATGCAAAGAATGAAAATAAAATTTTAATATACATGTTGATATAGACAAAGAAGAAAAAAAAAGTTGTGATATGCATATTATTATTATGATATATATTTACTAACTATTTGATGCTAATATTTATAACTAGGGCTATTTTCTGCTAATTATATGGGTATGTTATTATACCATGCCAAAACCCCTAGCTTATATATGCCAAAGAGTGTTTTATAAATATTCTCTAATTAAACAAAAGAAATTATAAATTCAAAAGAATTAAAAATTAAGTACAAGATAATTACTAATTTAGTTTTTCATTGTTAAATACAGATCTGGAGATATTTACAATTGGAGAAGATACTCGAAAAACCGCATTCACTGAAATAGAGCATGCTTAATTATGATCTCAGTTTAATGAATCCAAAAGTCAAAGCTAAAGAAATATAATCAGACTACTCTATAACGGTATTTCTATACAACATTCATTATATTCACTATAAAAGCTAAGTTTTTTTTGAAATCGATATTTATATTATATTATAATATATTTTTTCTATAATAGCACTTCACTGTAACAAAAAAAAATTATCGGAACAAAAACAAAGTTGTAGAAAAGTTTGACCATACATGGTTCAAGTGTTGGATGAAGAACTATTGGCATGGTAATCGTAAACTAAGTAGGCGTTTGGACATAAGAACCGTAAAATTCCAAAAAATGGTGAAAATATTTTTCAAGTAAAAATGATATTTGAAATTTAGAGTTATGTTTGGACATAAATTTCAGATTGGGTTGTTTTTGAAGTTTTGTGAGTGAAAATTTTGAAAACAGTTTTTTGAAATTTTTTAAATTTTCAAAAATTTCCAAAATGAACCTTCAAGTGAAAATTGAAAATTTTATGAACAAACGCTGATTTTGAAAAAAGTGAAATTTTTTTGGAAAAAAAGGAAAAAAAAATGTATGTCCAAAAGTGCTCTAAGATTCATTATATTCTTGTAATTCCCCTCTCTAGGCAAAGCAACCCTACCTAGTTTTTTCCCCTTCAAGATCATGTATATAAGTATTTGTCAGAGAAAAGTAAATAAAATTAAACTCTCGCTATGAAGGTCCGAGCCACGTTGAATTTATTGTATACAACATTACCATATATTTATACAAAAAAATATTTTGTAGACAAGCTTTATTCCACATACAAGAATCTTAAAAGTTTACAATCAATTCGATAGATATTCATTTAGCAGCAGCCGCAGCTTGAACTTTAGCTTTGAAAAACACAAGCATCATATCCCTATCAGGAAGGTTTTCCTTAACTTCACTACAGCTGAGGTACTCATCTCTCCAAGCACACAAATGGGGAAACTTTTGACTTGTAACTAACACAACCCCTGTTGCTTCTTCAACAATTTCCAACCAAAATGGTATGTAATTTGCAGCTAAATCAACAAATCCAATTTTGTCTCCCCCAAAAAACTTCTTGTCCTTAAGTTCATTGTCAACAATTTTCAGCAGCTCATAAGCTTCTTGTTGTATGCTCTTCTCTTGCTCCTTTCCTTTGCTCCACAGAGCTTTTCCCACTGCTTCCAAACACTGAAAGCACAAAGAAAAACTAAAAAATTCTTAGGATTTATTGCTTGTAATGATAAAGTTCTAACATCATTGTTTGTCCGTTAAAACAATTGGACTTTATCTGTTTTAATTTATAAGGACTATCTTTTGGCACATTAAAGTAACTGAACCATCGTAATTTGCTCAGGGTAAACAAATGACCGAAAGGTCATAACTTTTGGCTCAGAAAATAAAAAAAATCAATCATATAAATATTTTGACTATCCATATTTTATAAAACAAAATACAATCAACAAACATTAAACAAAACAAAAGGAAGAAAATTATCCGACATCGGAACTTTGACTTTTCAATCATTAGTATTGTCTCAGCATTCAGTTACTTTAATATGACAAAGAATAATTTTGTAAAATTCAATGATTATATGTGAAATTAACTAAATAAAAAAATAGAGGCACAGAATTATGGAAATAAACTCGCCTTTCCGTCAAGGAACCTAGCCCAAAAACGTGCAGTGGCTCGTTCATAAGGGTCTTGAGGCAAAATAGAAGGGCCTTCAAAAGTCTCGTCAATGTATTCAAGAATGAGCATAGACTCAGAAATGGGCTTTCCATTGTGAATTAGCACTGGGATTTTTTGGTGAACAGGATTGGATTGAAGAAGCAGAGGACTTTTGTTCTGTAGATCTTCTTCTATAAATTCATACTTCACTCCCTTAACTTTCAGAGCCCATTCAACTCTGCGACTATAAGAGCTGCCACTAACACCAAGCAAACTAACTTCTCCCATTTTTTAGAACTTTGTTTCTCGCTTAGCTTGGCTTCAAAACTCACTTTGTTGAAGAATATGTATCTATTTGTTTTGAGGTGGTTTTAGTCCTCTTTTCTATAGTGAGAGATTTAGAATAAGTTTCTTGTCAACAAAGCAAAGCAAGTCCACCAAAATAACCTAGTTGCCTTGTTTGACGTTTGCGTTTGCACTGACGACTTTTCTTGTACCGCAAAAGATATACTCCTACTCTCTCAATGTACTCATTTGATTGGACACAAAATTATTTATTAAAAAAAGAAGAAATATTTTCAAAGTTTGTCGAATCTCTAAAATAAGGCAAAGACATTAGTGTAACTATAAATAGTTTCATTAAGTGTTAAATAAAAAATTTAGAGTTAAATTATTTCTAAATAAAAAAAATAATATTTTGAGATAAACAAAAAAAGAGAATATGACACACAAATTAGGAAGAAAGGTGCATTACAATATGTAGAATTCAGAAGTAGTTTTTATTTTTATTTTTAAGCAATCCACTAGGCAGTGCCTAGGACTAGTTTTTATTTATAGTAAAAGCAATAAAACAAAGTAGCATATTGTCTTACGATATGTAAGACTATAAGATATGACTACTACATAGATCCTATTATCAAATTTGGGCTTGAGATTCCCAAAAGTGATATTACAAAGTGATCTAGTAAAATTATGAACTAGAATGTATAAAACTTGTATAAAAACTAGCCTATTACAGACATAGCCACTTCCTGCATGTGCGCACATTTGATTGCCAAAATCATTGATGATCTTTTCCTGTGAAAATGCAGCTTGCATTTAATAATTCTGAGTTTCATACAATGGCCTATTTGTGTCTCCAGCACTGCCCAACATCAGCTTCTCCTGATGAAGTTGCACTTTTGCTTTCTTATTTCGAGCATGATCCTTGTGTGGATGGAGTGTTTCTCGCTTAGCACCTCTTCCTTGTAAGTCCTGCTTAATGTCAGTTGTTAATATCTGCTGCTTGCACCTATAGCCCTGCTCCATATGAAATCCAGTCCTAATCTGATAATTGGGTACATAGCCTCTTTTTTGTTGTGTCACAGTTACTGTCCTTTTGTTGTTGACGTGAAATTCATCATACTGCATCTTGATTCTTAGTGCATTACCATTTACAGTATCAAATATATCCTCCCAGTCACAGTTGCATGAAAACCAATACTTCATTCTGCTCCTAAATTGGAAAGCAACTACTGCCCAGATATGTGTTCTTGCTCTATGTTTTCCATCATTTTCGCATGCTCTCCTTCTGTGTGTTGCTTCATTCTTTGCTTCAAAATCCTTCTGAGTTGTCCTATAGTTATGTCGCAGTGAGATAGGTACCCAGTTGGAATCAATGGTTTCCAAAAAATATTGCCAAGATTGCCATGTCAAATGCCCTGTCCAGCACTGCAGCAGCATGTGGATTTGATGTCGATTTTCTTGTGCTTTCCTTATAATTTCCTTTGAACTCTGTGTATGGTTACTCCTTTGGAAAATCAAATAAGAGTACTGCATTGAGATTATGTATCTCAACGTTGGCTTTTTACACAAAATTCTGAGCCATATCCAGCAGTTTGAGTATTCTTTCTTGTGACTCTGCTGGGCATCAGTATCATTGCTTCCCATATTTGCTTCTGTGTTTGTGCTCGTCCATGATTCCCCTCCAATGGAATGAGTACTAAGAAATACTAATACCACCAATTGAAAGTTCGTCAATAGACAAGGCATAGCTACAGTAATGTTCCCCACTGAAACATAAATTTTCTCGTCAGTTCATGTTATTTTAACCATGTTTTTCCAGTTTTCGTGTGCGATCCATGCTTGTTCTGTAGATATCCCATCATATTCCTAGCAGGAAAATTGCAGTTGTAGATTTTCTTCCATTCCTTGTGTATCAAACTTGTTCACAAACCTCATTGCTCCTTGCGTCCAGTAGAAGTGTACATAATTGATCATGCACAGTTTGTCCTGAATCTCTTGTGAATTCCAACAGTAGGTTAATGTGTCCTTTGTGTGGCACCATTGTAGGGATGTAGAATAACTGAAGTGCACTAGGATATGATACCCCAATGCCTTCATAGTTCCCATATTTTGATGCCAAAACAGTGTACCTCCTTTGAATGGCCCTTTGATAATCATGGGCATTGTACTGTTGCATCTCAAGCACTTCCTTCTTGGCTGCACCTTCCATTGATAGGTACTGATCATTGATGTATTAGGGAAATAAGAACACCCTCGAGTACTGGAGATCTTCCATGCTTCCATGCTTGTGGTCATCTATGATATCCTTTCCTGGGAATGAGCACAATGTGCTAATACCACCCATAGAATTTCAATCACAAGACGAGGCATGGTAACAGTATCGTTCCCTGCAAAAAAACAAAAGATGTTAGTTAAAAAATAGTAAACTATGAACTCCTCCCTTAGGATTCGATCATAGTATTCAATGTGACCTTCTTTTCTCCTTTTGAGCACCAGATTCATCAGTTCAAACTGCAACACTTTACTCCACCTTGTTATCTCCCCTCCTTCTAATTTCTCGCCACTCTTATTGTTAGATTTGGATATTGGAGTTTATCAATATTCACAATCCTCCTACTTTGTGTATCTAGCTCCCAGAATCCATGAGCGTCAATGGGTCCAATATCTAAAGCATAATTAGCTAGATGATCTGCCAATCTATTACCTTTCCTTAATGTATGAGATATACTTACATTGCACCGTGCCATAAGCTCTTTAATTTCATCCACAAACTCAGCCACAGACCAAGGAACAACCCATTCTCCATTCACAGAGTTTTTAATCAACATCGAGTCTGTGTGCAGCTCTATAAGCACATAATCATGCTGGACACAATACCTCATTGCTTCAAGTATGGCCCTTGCCTCTGCTTCAGTATTAGTTCCTTCTTGAATTTCCTTTCCACACGCATACAGTACATCCCCCTCTTCATTTCTCATTACAAATCCAATGGAACTCCTCCCATGATTGCCTTTCGATCCCCCATCTGTGTTCATTTTAACCCAACCCGGACTAGGATATTCCTATATCACCTTAATAACGTTTAGCTTAGGCATATAATTCTCTAGTAGATCAATCTGTTCTGGCCATTTGTAAGGAACATGAATAAGCCCAGGTTTTCTGTATTTTATCAATGCTTGGATGGTGGAATAAATCTGGTATATTACTCGATTAATAGTGACTGACTCCCCATATTTATAACTGTTATGCCTCTTCCATAGTTCCCAAATAATTATGGATGGTAAAGCCGGCATAATAGGTTGCAATCTAGGTATAACTTTGGCAGTCCAACACTTCACCACTGCTTGATGAAATGTAATTCCCTCCACACCAATGCCTGCATGATTTAAGAAGTACGACCACACTGTCTTGGCAGCATACGAGGTGAAGAACACATGTTGTCTGGTTTCCTCCATTGGATTAGTACAACACCAACATTTTGATGCCATTAAATATCCTAGCCTCCTAAAAAAATCATCTAGAGGTAGCTTATTTCTCCATACTTTCCACATAAAAAAAGATATTTTAAATGGCAATCCCTTTGCCCAAATCATCTTGAATGCATTGCGAGGATCCTTTCTACTTCTAAGATATTCCCACGCTGATTTCACACTAAATTCTCCACTGGTTTCAAGCGTCCAAACTGGCTTGTCTAGTATGTCCTGCACTCTAGGAGGTTTGATATTATGTAAAATATGTGTTGCAAATTCCTCCGGCAATATTTCTCTGATCTTTTCTTCATCCCACTGCCCATCACTGACTACATCATATATATATTTTGAATGGATTCATCACAAACAAAGTTTGGAGGAGTAGCAAAATATAGGGCACCCAAACTTGTCCAATTTTCAAACCAAAACAATGACGATCCCATTTTTGGATGCCACAATATTTGATGTTCAATAAGATCTCTACACTCAAGCGTCTTTCTCCACACATGAGACCCATTCCTCCAAGGAACCACAATTGGATTAAGTTTTTTGCAAAATTTTTGGCTCATGAAGGAACTCCATAAACTAGGCTTAGTTCTAAAGTTCCACCATAATTTGCAAAACAACGCTTTTGAAACATCATGTAAGGATCGAAATCCTACTCCACCTTCCTCATAAGGTAAGTATAGTGTTGTCCATGAAGCCCAATGTCTGCTCGAACTGCCAACATTATTGCTCCAAAAAAACTGAGCAAAAATTTTATGCAATCTATTTATCACATAAGGAGGAGGATTCACCGACGAAAGTAAGTGAATTGGCATACTTTGTAGTACGTGAGAGATTAGAATAGCCCTCCCCCTATAGATAATAATTTACCCTTCCAAGCTTGCAATTTATCCATTATTTTAGTAATTAGAAGTAGGTTGCTTTGACGTACATGCAATTTTTTTTTTTTTTGGGTATAATCATCCCTTATATGGTATTCATTAGCTTGACTAATAGGACCTATTAAAGCAAAGAAATGCTCCCTATAGAAATTTTCTTAGTTTTCGAGTGTTTGTAAGCGAAACCTCTCATTAGAAATTTCTTTTCTTGTAAAATCTCTAAAGTAGCATAACGTACGCTTTAGAGAATCTCTGGGTGATGAGTCAAAATAGAGTTAGCTATATGTCTTTCGAGTCTTGGACAAACATGAATTAATTTAATAATCATTAGTCTTTTCAAGGCTTAGATAACATTTAATTTGGCGCCAGGCATACAAAACAAAATAAAAGAAGAAATAGAAAAGAAAATAGTAAAAATAGGAACCTTCAACCACTCCCTCATATTTTGAGACATGCTTATTATAAAAGTATTCGGTCAATATGGAAACATATAATTAGAAAATTGTATTCTCAAAGAGGAAACATTAAATCATTTACTTGGTTTCTCAGACACTTCATTGATTTTTCCTTCTATAAAAGAAGACCACAATTAAAGAGAGAACCACCACTGGAAATTGCTTAACATAGTAAATTAGCAACAAATTGAGAACCAAAGTTGTGAGATGGCAGAAGTGAAGTTGCTAGGTTTTTGGTATAGCCCATTTAGTCACAGAGTTGAGTGGGCTCTAAAGATAAAGGGCGTGAAATATGAATATATAGAAGAAGATCGAGATAACAAGAGCTCTCTACTTCTTCAATCCAATCCTGTTTACAAAAAAGTCCCTGTTCTCATTCACAATGGAAAACCCATTGTTGAGTCTATGATCATTCTTGAATACATTGATGAGACTTTTGAAGGCCCTTCCATTTTGCCTAAAGACCCTTATGATCGAGCTTTAGCTCGTTTCTGGGCTAAGTTCCTTGACGATAAGGTAAATACCTATCTGCATAATTTAGTAAACTTTTATTTGAGACTAAAATTATTATTATTATTATTATTATTTTTTTGGTAAGAGGAGAAACACGCATCAGCTGTAACCTCTGCCCTTCGGGTGAGCACTCTGTGGTGAGCATTTTGTGCGCATTGGGTAAACCTCCCCTTGTATAATAGCCTGCAAACCACACAGGGGATATAAACTGCACTAGGCAAGCCCTGTGCGACATGCTCAACTTAGAAGGCATTGAGAGAGGAGTCGATCCCAGGTCATCCGTATGGATGACCGCCCTCCAAACCAACTGGGCAACCCCGAAGAGTTAAAAGTTATTTTTGAATATTGTTTTATTCCATATATGATGGTTTAGTCATGTCATGTGTCAATGTTCAGATCAACATATCCGTAAGTGTGAAACTATTATAGTGGAGGTGTTAAAAGGGGACAAGATAGACTTAAAATCGAATGGGAAGAAGTTGCTTCAAAGTACCTACAATATCTTTTAATCCATGCAGGTGTTATGGAAAAAAGTACGGCAAAATGAAACACAAGATCTCTATAAGCGGTATCAATTAGTTGAGAATATGTTTTAGTGATGTTAGAACGTTTACTTGGGCCTTATATTTTTTAGAAATTTTTTAATCGTGCCATTTTTATATGTGAGTAAAAAATATAAAGAGCTTGGAATACTTTTCATAATTTTGTATAGCAGTAGTGCGGATTTAGAAGGTATTTGGATTGACTTATTTTAAGTGTTTATTGGCTTTAAAATACTTTTCTAGTTGTTGTGGTATTTGACAATGATAAAAAGTGCTTAAAAGCACTTACTTTTAGGCATGAAAAAGTACAAAAATAAACCAAAAATCAAAAGTTGGGTATTACCAACTTATGACTTTTGGCTTATAAGATACTTTTTACCAGCCAATCCAAAATAGAGCCGACTCTAACTTACTTGTGATTGAGGCGTAGTGTTGTCGTTGTTGTTGTTAAGTTAAGAGCGTTTTGCAGGTGACTGCAGTACCGAATATTTTCCTTCGCAAAGGGGAGGAGCAAGAGAAAGCTAAAGAGAAAGTTTGTGAAATGTTTAAAGTTCTTGACAATGAGCTCGAGGATAAGAAGTTCTTTGTGGGTGACAAATTTGGGTTTGCTGATATTGCTGCAAATTTGGTGGCATTTTGGCTAGGAGTTTTTGAAGAAGCCTCTGGAGTTGTTTTAGTGACAAGGGAAAAATTTCCAATTTTTTGTAAGTGGAGAGGTGAGTACATTAACTGCAGCCAAATCAAGGAATCTCTGCCTCCTAGAGATGAGTTGCTTGCTTTTTACCGAGCTCGTTCTTAAGCTGCAGCAGTTTCTGCGTCCGCTCCCAAATGAACACATTCTCATTCATCTTATGAAGTTTGGAGATTATGTGTCAGAATAAAATTGAGAATCTAGGACGAGTTCTAAAGATTATGTATACGTATGGAAAAAAAAGAAATTAAAATATATGTTTATATAAGATTAGGCTTCTTCAAAATTAATGACTCTAGATTCTGCTTTCTCTTGATCCTAATAAAACTACTTGTTAGAAAAAGCTAGCTTAGTCCCAGCTAGTCACATACAGGAAGTGTCTCGAGTTACTGTTTTAATTTGTTTGTTGGTCAGTTATTATACAATGATTAATCATATATAATTATTGATGAAATAGTGGGTGACATAAGCACATAAGTCACTCATGTGTACAGGTAAGCATCGATCTAAAATGATACTATCACAAATATGTAGTACAAGTAAGCTTGCATACAAAATGGAGTTTATATACTTTTCTTGCTTGACTATATATATGGACAGCATTAAATTTCGATAAATCTCAGAAAGCCAAGACCAATATTTATTCAAAATCCCAAATAAGGTTTGCGAGATTGCAATGGATTTCAGAAGTTTTAAGACTCCCATAGAGGCATAGACAAAGTCCAGGAAACTTGTAGTTTCTAAATAAATAAATAAAAAAAAAAAAATGGAAACTTGTAGTTAAGTGGGTGATTTTCACGGATTTCTTTTTTGGGTGCATTACTTAAGTTTTGACCCGGCTTATTGAAACTTTGCACGAATAGCCCAATTTTCAAGTTACGAAGGATGCATTTGCAACTTTATATTCTTGTACTACAAGATGCACTACTGCGATATGTGAAATCAGAGAACTGTGTTCAGGGCAGATAAGATTCGGTCGAAACTCTATGTATATATATATATACAAGTGAGAGGGGATATAAACTGATAAGGGGATAACCTTATGTTGTAAAATCCTACTTGATAGGGGGATAACCTTATATTGTAAAATCCTACTCGATACTCTCTCTATTCTTTGGATTTTCTATTTCAGTTTTTACTTTTTTGTCCTTAATAATTTTATCTAATTTTTTATTAACTTCTAAAAGTAATGCTATTATTGTGTTATTTTGTTTTATTATTATCTGGTCCTATTTTCCTTGAGGAACGTAGTCCGTAAATCCTTTTGGATTATGCTGAAACTTCATTGTTATTCTTTACACTTTATCATATACTGGATCTAAATCGTTCATGAATGGGAGATTTCTTTTAGCGTCTCTATTGTATCTTTTAACTTACTAATATCAGTAGTTAGTACTTCTATCTGCTGTGTTATTTTTGATACCAATTGCGTTGTTTGGATTTCTAATTCTTTAGGCTTTTCTGTAATAGTTCTAATTAG